CTCACTCAGGGCGGGTCTAAGGTAAGACACCAGTCCAGTCTGTGCTGAAACGCTACTGTCAATCAAACTATCGTGGGAGGGGCCTGTCTGTGTGATATCACACAGACAGGCATCTGAGATCGGTTCGATTTGAGAAAGGGGAAAACATTTAACCAGATAAAAAAAAAAAACACTTGGTGGATTTTTATCATTATAGGGTGATTGTGTACACACACTGCCAACACACATTTCAGTTCAAACAACTTGTAAAAGTGCATGTAGCATCCTATGACCCCTTTAAGGGTCAAGATCATGTTATCTGCATCTCCTGCACTCCACCAAGCCACTCCCATAATAGCTGTCATTACTCAAATTAATGCATGACTCTACATTATCTGTATAGCATGTGTAAGACTCGAATACAATTATGAAGTAATAATATTATGACAAATAAATATTTCAGTGAGTAAAACTGGCTGTGTCTGTAGTATTAAAGACTACACAACATTATTATATTATCTTTAAATTATTATTATTTTTAAACTATTGTCCCTGGATTAGTAGGGTACTCTTGTAATAAAGTAGCGGTGGTAGAGGACAGATTTGAAGTATAAATTCTGCTTAAAAAGATGCAATCTAATCCTGTTTACATGAAATAAACCTGCTCCCGAGCAGGTTTAAGCTTACGGACCTGTTGCTATGACAGCAACTCCGAGATGAGCTTCGAAGAACCAAACAATCCAAGATCATGCCAAATCATCAACAATCAAATCCAGCTAACTGAGTTAGCGACGTACGAAGAACAGGCCCCAGGTGTGCTGAAGCAGGTTGAAAATAAACTTTGCATGATATAATTAATTGGGTTAATTTTTAATTAAATAACAGCCCTAATATTCAGTTATTTCCTCGTACTAGACTGGAAAAAAACATAACATCTGATTAATCATGTATGACACGTGAAAGGACCAGCAGATAGTGATGTTGTGTTAAATATCTTGGGCTGTAGATGCTCCTATGAATTTTGATCCTTTCTCTTTCAAACTCTCTCTTTTAAAATCTCTTTCAACCTTGCCATAAAACACACATTCAAGCACCACTGCTCTTATTCTCCTTCCCTTTTTCTTCTGCTCTCTTCATCATCTGTTCACTGAGAACAAAGCAGAGCTTCAGCATTATCCATTTCAGCCGAAGTGAAGAAAACCTCCCTGCTGCCTCACGAACGTGTCCTGGTTACCAGCGAACCACCTCTAAAAACCCAGAAACATATTTTTTTTTCTTAATTTAGCTGCCATCTTTTCACACAACTATAACCTGACTGTCTTTTTTTCCATTTTGCTGTACATCAAAATGCCATTTCCTGCCTTGATTACAGGGCGAGGAACATGACAGGCTCATCTTAGCTTTCAGAGCCAACAGGGGTGATATTTATCTGCCTCATTTTATTTATTCAAGATCTATAGTGTGCCACTGATGACCGTATATCTTGAGTATGAGTGACTTGCCTCTCTTTGAGCGTAATTGCAGACTAATACGGTGTGGTTAATGCTGTGGGAAATCCAGACTTAACTATTCCAAGAAACCACGACCAAGCTGTCACATTGAAAACATGGTGCCTTTATTGGTAACAGACATATTTAAGTGCTCTTGGGTTTCTGTCAAGTTAGTTCCAGATTTTACAGGGCATCTCCTATCAAAGACATTCCAAGTTTTAGATTCCTATAATCATGTAAGATGTGTTCATTATGGTTAGTCCAAATTTGTTTGCACAAAAGTCAGACTGTTAGATTCAAATCTTCTTAGACAATTTGTGAGTCAACGCAGAGGATTGTGAAGACTTTTTAAGCTGATCAGCCTTATAACATGGTACAAGATTTGGTTTAATTCACAGCCAGATTCATTTTCAGTCTCTGTTTGCCATATGTAAGTAAATGGGGGACAGATACACATATGGAAACAAGACTCTGAAACCACAGCAGCCAATACAGAAATACTGTATATCAGTTAGCATACAGTGTCTCTTTTCCCAAATCTTTGTGTGTGTGTGTGTGTCCCCTTTTGTCTCTTTTAAGTTTCTTTCTCTCTTTAGTGGATCTGATGATTTTATGAAATAACGTAAAGAAATACTTCATCCAAAAATGAAAATTCTGTCATCACTTACTCATTTTCATGCCATGGAAATTTAGCAGAACCTTCATGCAGCTGTTTTCCAAACAATGAAGTAAATGGTGTAAAAAATGACAAAAGCACTATAGAAAAGGTCAATTTGTGCAACATATGCACCAATTTTATGGTGCTTTATTTGTCATTTTTGGAGTTTGACAGTCCCCGGTGACCTTTCACTTTCATTGTATAGAAAAGAACAACATGATCATCCTTTTGACAGAAGAAATAAATAATCATGCGCTTTTAAAACAAAGGAGGGTGAGTAATTGATGACAGAATTTTCATTTTGGGGGAACTATCCATTTAAGAAGTTAATGGAAATCATTTTTCATACAGCACCACAACAGTTTGTAACTCAGACCTATGGCTAATGACTTCATCTCTGTGAGGTCCTGTTTAAGAGTCACAGTTTGTTACAGTGGCATGGATGATAGATCTAGACTAATAAAAATGTAAATGTGTTTTATTTAGCTATACAGCAGCAAAGCAGTGATAGATGGTCGAATATTTAATAGGTATTTAAAATTTAAAAAAATGGCAGCAAAACTCAACTCCACAAATATATAAGGTATATGCCGAAAATATTTCTTATTCATTTTACATGATACTATTTTCTCTCTTTCTCTCTTCCTTTTTATATTTATTTCCTGGTTTACATTAAAATTTTAATTCCAAATGTTAGAAGTGTCCTCATATTTCAGGTTCCAACTGTATGTGTTTTCCTGAAAATGATCAAACACTAAAGCAAATCTGTTAGGGCAGTGATTTGTGTTTATCATATCACTGGAATTTTAACTGTACAACACTGGCTTTTCAAGAGAAAACACACACCTAAAGAACAGCAGCAGGTTAAAGGAGTGCAAGGGCCTTTTCAAAAAATCATGAATAAACCAAGAAAGCCATGATAAAAAAAGGCAGAGGGAATTAGTTGTCTTTCTTTAAGTCACTACACCACACTGGATGGGACACAGCCTATACCTTAAAAGAATACTTCACCCAAAAATGAAAAAGTCACTATTTATTTACCCTCATGATTTTCTTTCTGGACCATAAATAAGCTGCAGGCTCATTACAATGAATGGAACTGAGGTTTTCTAGCCTGAAAAGTCATTTTGCATTTTTTTGAAGCTTTAGTCCCTATGGAAAAAAAAATATGTACCAGCTTTGGAATAGCATGAGGATGATGAATAATGACAGAATTATTATAGAAAATGAGCTATCCCTTTAAATTTCAATGCTTTTAAATCATGAAAGTCTAAAGCTGGATGGTTGTGCAGCTCAGGGTGAATGTGCTAATTATGGGACACAGAGTGTGTGATGATGCAATTTGGAGACAAGTGTGACAGCCAGCCACTTTTGGTCCAGCATTGCTTCCCCTGTGAGTGTATGTTTAAGATGCAAAAATTAATAGAATTAATAGAATGGATAAGCCTTTTTAGTCAAATAGTGTTGCATGATAATTTAATTAACAGGAATGAAAACCATCACAATAACTCTGTATCTCTCTCTCCCTCTCACACACACTTTAATATACAGACAGCTGTGCTGATAACATGGTAGCTTTCTTGTTGCCCAGTTTCCTTTTCCCACATCCAATGTTCACTTTATACACAACACTTCCTGTTTCCTGTCTGATCATTTGGGAGCATTGCCCTAATTCCAGTCAGGTCCCACCCTCTATGACCTGCTTTTGGTTTGGCCTACTAAGGTGAAACAAAGAACCAAAACTTTACCGTAACCCAAACACTGCACAGTACTCAACCAAATACAATTGGGTATTACAGCACATTTCCCTTCATTCTTCTTTCTTTATGAGTCTGATGTTAAGAGTACACGGTGCAAACCAGTTTGGTGGAGCATGTGAGATAACAAGATTCTGTGATATCTGACTGACACTTACCAAAATACTTTTTAACTTGTCTTGCGCTACAATCTCTGTCAAACTTTTTGTGTTTGTTTGTTGTCCTACCTCCCTGTTGTCTGCTACAATGATGAGCTCCACGTATTTGGCGGTCTTCTGAACATCCCGTTTATGCTGCCAAACAGAAAAGAGCAGGTCAACGATCTTACTATGTGATCAACTTTTCATTACCAACAACATTTACCAGACGGTCCATCAGAGCCTAGTGATAGGGATTTTGAATCATCCCAGTGACTTGAATCTTTTGAATCTGTTCACAGATTTATGTTCACCAAACAACAGATTAATCCACTAATTCTTTCAGTGAGACTTTCTGCAGGTTACACCAGTAAGTGATTTTTCCTTTTTGTTTTGTGTATGTGTGTATTATAAGCAACCAATTAATTAAAAACCACCTGAAACAATTTACATTTTTCTTTATTAAAATTTGTGTATACAGTACAAATCTAAAAAAAACAAAAAAAAAAACAGACT